ACGGAGGGAGACTACCTCGCCAAGCAGTTTGTGTGCTCGCTGAAAGGAAACGCCTTTGAGTGGTACACGAACCTAGAGCCTAAGTCCATCAACAGCTGGGAACAGTTGGAAAGGGAATTCCTCAACCGCTTCTACAGCACCTGCCGCACTGTGAGCATGCTAGAGCTAACTAGCACAAAGCAGTGGAAGGACGAGCTAGTCATTGACTACATCAACAGATGGCGCACTCCAAGCCTCGACTATAAAGACAGGCTATTGGAAACCTTTTCAATCGAGATGTGCATCCAAGGCATGCAATGGGGTTTGCAATACATCCTTCAAGGCATTAAACCACGGACCTTCGAGGAATTGGCCATCCGCGCCCATGACATGGAGTTGAGCATCGCCCATCATGGGAAGAAGGAACCGATCGCCGACTACAAGAACGACAAAATTCTTGAGACAAAAGTGGAGAATGCTACGGGGAAATCCACCAAGGAAGCAATGACAGTCAACACATCTCCCGTCAAAATCCCTACACGAGGCAAAGCGATTCAAGCTGAAGCTTTTCGTGATCAAGAGATGCGTAGACGCACTTTGAAGGAGCTTGAAGAGAAAACTTATCCATTCCCCGACTCTGATGTGGTTGCCATGTTAGAAGACTTGCTGGAAAAGAAGGTGATCGGCTTGCCTGAGTGCAGATGGCCAGAAGAGATGAATCGCACCGACATTCCAAGGTACTGTAAATTCCACCGCTTCATCAGTCATCCGACAAAAAAGTGCTTCGTGCTGAAAGATCTCATCATGAAGCTGGCTCAAAAAGGAATCATCGAGCTAGATCTTGACGATGTGGTGAAGTCAAACTATACCACCATCACTTCTGGCTCTTCCGACTCAAAATTTTTACCTCAACCTCATGGGGCATCCTCCAAGACAAGCAAAGTTGAATGATGGACTCAAGTCACTCCTAAGAAATTGCACAAGAAGTATACGTCTCCTCCACAAGTCCGCCAATCGGAAAGGGGGCAAAGCAGCTCTTGTCAACCTTCAAAGCAACGTGAACGTGTTGAACATGATGAAATTTTGACACATAGATCGTCCATCCCCATCACGATGCGCGATTTCTTTCCCAAAGACTTCTTTAATCACTCGGTCAAGGCTCCTTGCTATGAAGATTGTGAGGAACGCCTCTCTAAAATTGCTTGACAAAATTCACAAATTCTCCTCGCCCGCACGAGTCTAAAACTGCATGGCACAAAGCTCCTGGTCTGCACGAGCATAAAAGGCAACACCAATGCTCCTTGTTCGCACGAGCCTAAACTGCACGAACCAATGCTCTTTGTTCGCACGAGCTTAAACTGCACGAACCAAAGCTCCTTGCCCGCACGAGTCTAAACTGCATGGCACAAAGCTCCTGGTCTGCACGAGCATAAAAGGCGACATCAACGTTCCTGGTCTGCACGAGCATAAAAGGCGACGTCAACGTTCCTGGTCTGCACGAGCATAAAAGGCAACACCAAAGCTCCTGGCCCGCAAGAGCATAAACTGTGTACGGCAAAATCATCATCAAAATCACTGTTAAATTCATCACTCATTTGAACTACGTTATGGCTTGATCTCTTATTTGGAAGGGTACGTAGGCGGCTCGAACATTCAATTTCGAGTTCAGTCATATCAAAATAAAAAAATATATAAAAAAGTTTTATTAAAGAAAGTCAATTTTATTACAAAAGAATAAATAAATAAATACATATGTTATTATGTATTTACAAAAACAAAAAACAAAAAAAAAACAAAAAAAAACAAATGCATTGAGAGAAATAAAGTCCGTTTTTTTTATTTATTTTTTCTGGAAATTTTACATAAATTTGGATTATACATACTTAAAAAATAAAAAATAAAAAATCAAATCAAATTTACAAGAGGGGATCTTCAAGGACGACTAGGTGCCGCCTCACCACTCGGCAGAGCTCCAGAAATGAGAGGCGCCGGAGGTTGACTGTTTGAAGCCACACCACTCGGCAGAACTCCAGGAAGAAGAGGAGCCAAAGGTTGATCATTTGGAGCTTCATTACGCGGTACAGCCCCAGAAGACGAAGGCAAATGCTGCTGGAACAAACCCACAAACCTCTGATGATCAAGTAAAATCTGACCATCAGATTCCTGCATCTGGTCAATCTTCATCTTCATGTTTGTCGCATAGCTATGTGCGAGCTTATGCAATTGTTTATTCTCCTATTTAAGCCTTCTAATCTCCTGTTTGAGACTCATCACTTCATCCACAAAGTTTCACCTACAACATTCACCAAAATTCACCTACAACATCCACCAAAACAAATAGATGGTGGTGATTCGTTCCCAAAGCCTATAAATAGGCTCCTCCATCAAAGAATCAAGGAAGGAATTCACAAATACATTTCTCTACTCCCAAATTGGAAGAGAATCCCCCAAATCTTTGAAGCTTTGAAACTCTAAAGCTTTCAAGCATCAAACCTCCCAAATTCAAGCAAATCCCGAAGGATCAAGAAAGCCCTCTTCGTTCTTCGTCAAATCCTCCTTCAAGATCAAGCCCTAACGGCCCTTGAAGAAATTTCTCCTTCAAGATCAAGCCCCAACGGCCCTTGAAGAACTTCCACCAATTCAAGATCAAGCCTCGACGGCCCTTGAAGAAAGTGTTCACCAAATCCACATAACTGTTCATCCTAAGATCAAGCCCCAACGGCCCTTTGGATCAACAACATCAACAAATCCACACAACTGTTCATCCTAAGATCAAGCCCCAACGACCCTTTGGATCAACAACATCAATAAATCCACACAACCGTTCATCCCAAGATCAAGCCCCGACGGCCCTTGGATCAACAATCATCCATCTTCAAGATCAAGCCCAAAAGCCGTTGAAGATCCGTTCATCATTATTCTTCAAGATCAAGCCCCGACGGCCTTCGAAGAAAGTGTTTTTCGTTCTTCGTTCATCGTTCTTCCAAGATCAAGCCCCAACGGCCCTTTGGATCAACAATCATCCACCAATTCAAGATCAAGCCTCGACGGCCCTTGAAGAAAGTGTTCTTCGTTCCTCGTTCATCATTCTTCCAAGATCAAGCCCCAACGGCCCTTTGGATCAACAATCATCCACCAATTCAAGATCAAGCCCCGACGGCCCTTGAAGAAAGTGTTCTTCGTTCTTTGTTCATCGTTCTTCCAAGATCAAACCCTGACGGCCCTTGGATCAACCATCCACCAATTCAAGATCAAGCCCCAAAGGCCCTTGAAGAACTTCCACCAATTCAAGATCAAGCCCCGACGGCCCTTGAAGAAAGCACAATCGTTCATCATCCGTTCATCCAATATCAAGCCCCGACGGCCTTTGGATCAACAACATCAATAAATCCACACAACTGTTCATCCTAAGATCAAGCCCCGACGACCCTTTTGGATCAACAACATCAACAAATCCACACAACTGTTCATCCTAAGATCAAGCCCCAACGGCCCTTTGGATCAACAACATCAATAAATCCACACAACTGTTCATCCCAAGATCAAGCCCCAACGGCCCTTGGATCAACAATCATCCATCTTCAAGATCAAGCCCAAAAAGCCCTTGAATATCCGTTCATCACTATTCTTCAAGGTCAAGCCCAAAAGCCCTTGAAGATCCGTTCATCACCGTTATTCAAGATAAAGCCTCAACAGCTCTTGAAGAAACGCTCATCCTCAAGATCAAGCCCCAACGGCTCCTTGAAGATCCGCTCAAATCCACCTTCAAAGATCAAGCCCATGGCCCCCTTGAAGAAACTTCCAACAGTTCATCCAAGATCAAGCCTCGACGACCCTTGGATCAACGAAACATCCACAAATAAACACCTTACGGAGATCGAATCAGAGGATCAAATTTGAGAGAGATTGTAACCCACAATCATCAAACACAAATATTATTTTGTGCACGTTGTTCTTGTCTCTTTCGTTTCAGGAATTTTCCGTGTTCACAACTGTCATTTTCTCACCTATAAATCCTTAACATTTCATATAGGTTGCGAATTCTAATTTATTATCCAAAGTTAACTTACACTATTTCATATGAAAAAATACCAATTTATTCTCCAAAGTTAACTCCATACACTATTTCTTTATGAAAAATTATTAATCTACAATCCAATATGAATCACATGTAAGTAACGTGACTTAAATTGTTAATATTGAATATAGTAACTTCAAATAATATTAAGGGTATAATTGGCAGATTTTTGTAATTTAATTACTGATTTTTCTGAAAAAATAGTTTAAAAACCTAATTTTCACTGATGTAATAATTCAAAAACAAAATTAACAGTTCACCCATATATATATATATATATATATATATATATATATATATATATATATATATATCTTCAAGCAACTAGTCGAATTGACATTTGCAATGATAATCGTAAATTAATAAATGTCGCGTGTATGCATTACATTCTTGAACATAGTCAATAAAGTTCTATGCACACTAGTTTTTTGAAGTTTCAAATTTTAATGAAAAGGTTAAGGTGCAATTTTGTTTTAAATCGTTATTCATATACTTGGACTTCAGAGATTATCCAACCTAGTATTTTTTACAAATTAAAATTTTAAAATTAAAGATAATCTGGGTTAGTAGCATAATTTCTTTCCAATCATTGCCTGCGCATAAACCGGAAAATAAAAAAACAAAAACAACGCAAAAATGACATGTCAACTGTGGGAGCTCTAAGGCCCTGAAGCCTCCGACCAATCATATTGCATAGTTCCGCAGAAAATTGAGAGTCAAATACGATGGGCTTAGGTGTCTTTTTGACTATCATCCAACCAAAATCTTTGGTTCCTCCACCAACCATTCTGCAAATAAAAAACTTTATTAATAAAACCAAAACCCTAAGAAAATTAAAAAAAATATATATATATATATATATTATATATAAAAAAATAAAAAAAAACTTCTTTTAATATTTTGATAAGTATGTAACTGTATTTTATTTGTTCTATTTTTCAAAAGACAATAGACCAAAAAAGGAGTAGTCAATTTTTCTGAGCTTTCAGTTGTTTAATGCTGAAGGGAGCCTTGCTTGACATGTACAAGACCTCTCTCTCCCTCTCTCTCTCTAATTCACAAAGATCCCCTCTGAATTTTTGATCTGTGGAGGACAAAATTCATTGGAATTTTGCTCCCCAGTTCCTGCAAATCATTGGGTAAGTTCCTTCTTCTCTTCCAGCTCTTCTATCTGCAGATTTTCTTTCAATTTTTATGATTGATTTGTTTGAATAAACTGTTTTTCTCTTGTGGGTTTGTTGGGATTTGCATAAAGTTCAAAGCTTTGCCTAACTTTCTTGTTAATACTTGATGGGTATTCAATAATTTGTCTTGATATGATTGTGTGTGCTTGAATTTTGGATTTCTTAGTTCAATGATTTATGAGCTGAATTGGGGTGATTTGGAATAATTGTGGAAGTTTTTGCAGCACTTGCATAGATAATTAGATATGGGTTAATAGTTAATGAAATTTTTTAGGACACCACTCACAAGAACTAAGGTTTTGTTGTTCCAAGTAGTTGTCCATCATAGTACCATGTAAATCCTGTGTCGTATGTCCACCTGAGCTGGAGAATAGCAATGTTGCTGGGTCCAATCCACCCGTGTGTTCAGTTCCGGTTTAAGTGAACGATCCCGTAGTAGGCTATAATTTTGTACTGAATGAATTTGCATGCCCGAGAAAGGTGATTTGTGAATCCTTTTTAACCATAATAAGGGGAGTGCTTGATTAGCCACAATCAATTGCTTGTGTTCAATTCCGGTTTAAGCTAATGATCCCGATTCCCGTAATATGCTTTAATTTGTATGGAATGAATTTGCATGCTATGAGAAAGGTGATTTCTGAATTATTTTTAAGCATATAAGGGAGGGCTTGTTTAGCTCCAAGCAGTTGCAAACTTTAGTTCAAGTTTTATGTTTGTTATGCGAGCAAGTAAAGATGAATGTTTTCTCAAAGATCATGACCAAAATAAAAATCCGGGATAAATTGGATATGAACTGAAGTTCTAATTTTGTGGAACAGGCATACAAAGGTGTGGTAACAGAATTCAGGATTTTGACTCCTCGTATTCATCTGCAATTCTGCTGTAGGACGCATGGATCAAAGTATGCAAACTTCTCTTGATTCCTCGGGCTTAATCTTCTTTGCATATAATAAATTATGACTATATTTACTTGTTCAGAACTAAAACGATTAAGTTGACATGACCAGTCATGAATTTACTACTTCCTTACTCTGATACAAGATTTATTGGTGTTGCAGATGCTTCAGCAGTAGGTTTGAGAAACGACCTTGAGCTAGTGAAATCACCATCCGAAAAGCATCTTGAACGTTTGAGACCATCAGCTCGATATTATTCAATATTTAAAGGTAGGATCTTGTTTTCACATTTTCTTTAGCGAAGCCTATTTGGGTTTCGCAACTTATAACTTATAAGTGCTTTCAGAATTATCTGTGACAAGTATCAATCTTCCTCTCATGGACTATGGAATGTGTTTGTTCTATCGAATTGTATTTTTAGTCATTCATTCACTGTTTCCATCCATGATAGTTTGTTGAATAGATAATTTTTAACATTGTACTTAAACTGGAATGCCTCTAGTTGTATCAACTTCCAGCACTAATCAGCTTGGTTACAACCTATTAGTGGGAGAATGTATCAGCATGCTAGAATTGATGATTGTGTTAATAGACTTCCTGATCAAATACTGGGCTGGCATGCAGTTGTAATTTTAAAGTGTCATGAACCTGATCCCGGATACATGTAATTTCTATTTATGTCGATAAACAAGATCTTTATAGCTACTGGATCTTTTATATCAACTGTTTATCCAGACAAGTGAGGGATATTATGGTCATGGTAGGGCAAGCAAAAGATGCTGCAGATCCTGAAAAAGGCAAATATTCCCTAATTAGAGATGCAGAGGACTTTCCGTCAGGAATATACGAGAAACAGCTTCCATGCTTTGGCTGTGGGATAGGATGGTTTTCGTGAGTATCTTTAATTCCTCTATCCTTCCTCTGTTTTCATTATTCCTTGTCTCACTCCTGTATCTTGCACCACAGGTTTCTTTTAGGCTTCGTATTCCCATTAATGTGGTACTATGCCACAGTTCTCTATTTTGGAAATTACTATCGGAAGGATCCTAGGGAGCGAGCAGGACTAGCCGCCTCTGCAATTGCTGTATATCTCTCTCTTTCTTTCGATTACGTGTTTCCATTCTAGAGTGTTTCTCTTCAACCATGTATCAGAGAATTAATTGGCATAATTATCCAATTGTTGCAGGCACTAGTTTGTGCTGTCGTGCTGTTGATCATAGCATTGTTTCGGATGTTCTAGATTTGCTCAATCGGAAGCGTGCTAGCAACATCTTCACAAGCATGAAGAAATCAGTGGGATTGGAAGGGCCCCGTAAGGACACAAATACTAACGTTTTTTTGTTTTTGTTTTTTTCCGGTGGAAAGGGAGGTAAATGAAAAAAAGGAAAGGAATAAATGAAAAGAAGCTGAACTTCCCATACAATTCTTTAGACATCAAGAGTACAAGATTTGGATGATTATGAGCTACCGTATTTGTATATTCATATTTGTATGAACAAATGGCGGCGAGACGAGTATTTGTGTTTGTAAACTTTGTAATTAAACAGAAGTTTATGGAGGTGAAATACAGAGATGTGTCATCTTTAAACTTTGAACGCATTTCAGTTGCCGAAACCAGAACTTGACCTTTGTACGAACTTTCCATCAGCTTAGCTCACTAAATGACAAACTTAACGAGCCTTGTAGCGTGAATTTGTAATTAAGCACATCATTAAAGTTATGGTTACATGACAGAGCTTAACCAAGGCCCTGAGCCCCCATTACAAGGACACACTACCCACTATGTTGTATTAATTCGGATCCGTTTATACTAGTATCGAATTCGGATCAAAATCTGATTTGTTGACATGTCTGGTCATGCTTGCAACCAACATACATGAGACTTATTCGTTTGTTATGACTGACTGTTGCACGGACACACCGAGGATTTCGTCTTCTTCATTCCCGAGTGCCAATTCAATCTGTGGTTGAGTTAGTACTCGAGCGAATGAACATAACCTTCAACCAATTGGCGCTTTCCGCCATTTTTCTCTCCGGAGTGTCTGACATCCGACATGCCTCGGACGCGCCCGGGAACAACACCAATTACAAAAGATTACAACTTTCACATGTTTATAACATCTTCTTCTCTGTTTTACAGACATAGGTTTTGAAGGTCTCTATCCACTGTGAAGGCTGCAAAAAGTAGGTTTAGACACGGAGATTTTTTGTAAACGTCAAAGACATTTTGGGATAATTTTGTAAATATTGAAACTTTCTAAAACCTAAAGTTTGCGACCTACTCTTCAGTCCTTTTTCTAAAACCTAAAGTTTGTTGACAGGTCCTCTTTCTCTCCATTCGCATCCGTTTAATTATATTATGAATTCAAAGTATTGTTTTTAATATATATATATATATATATATAATATTTATAATAAGTTCATTATATTTTAATTGCCGTGTTCTAACCGTGTTCATGTCTTCATTTTTTGAAAATTTTTGTGTCGCTATGTTGGCGTATCACGTGTCGTTGTGCAACATAGGTGACCAATAACATGATTTGATTGACTCTCGACTTTGGAAGGTGAAGTCTTATGATCAGATGACCGGAGTGGAACAGATTGCAAATCAGTCTCATTCCAAAGGCATCGACCTTGTCGACTGTAGAGGGGAGTTGGAGCTGAATCAAAGCGTTTCCGTTCTACACTCGCCGCAGTTATCATCACCCGTTACCTGAAAACATAGTACCTAAAGTACAGAGGACTGGTATTTTACCATCTTCTTGTTATTTCATGACCTGGTTGGTGAAGATAAACATTAAGTTTTAGATTAAGCTTTCTCTCCGAAACACAAAACAAATTAAGAACGCATCTTTTACTACGGACAATCATCACAAGGTCTGATTCATAGAGAATTGAAGAATTAATGACAAGGATATTTCTTCCGAAAACTTTTCAAACAGAAGAAATGATTAGAAAATGTAGATGTAACCTAAGCTCCTCCGCGTCCTATACTTGTGACTCTGCGTTCGAATCTGAATTTGAATGAAGGGATAAGGCCAATATACTACGCTGAAATCCCCTAGTCACACTCCGCTTCAAACTGACGCACTTTAATCCTTGGCAGCCAAATGAACATACTTGTCGTCGACTCTAAATTTGGAGCTCGAATTGATCTGGCACCAAAAAATAATGTAAAGGATGAGTCGAAGACAAGTTGATACTACTAGTTTGCGGATCATGAATAAAGATGAACAAATAAACATTGGATTGGCCGCAAACCTTGTGCTCAAGCTTCTTACTCAGTTTGGTTTCGTCATCTGTTATGCCGGATTCTTCGAGAGCCTTCAGCACAAGTTTTTTCAATTTCCTCATCTTCAGGACTCCGTCGTTCTGCACCCATGAATAATAACGCAGATCAATTTTACACTGAAAAACTGGCAATGACGTAAAACAAATGCATATAAATGAAAATGGAGAATACTTACTTTCTTTTTCTCTTTTTAAAAGTAGCATGATGCATTGCACAATTTTAGCGTAAAGCAAGAAACGATTTTACTCAGATTTCATACCGATTTTAGGGTTGACGTAATCAACTTCTTCCACTTTGTTTTCGTAGTAAGTTCTCCCTCTTTCCCATTTGCTTCTGTCTTCCCACTCTGAACCACTTTGCCATTTCCTACTTCATCTGATGTATTATCCTTAGTCTTCTTGCTTGATTCATCGTTCTTGGATGCATCAAGCTTTCTCTTTTTATTTTTCAGCAAGGTGTAAGTCTCTGCTTCAGGACTTTGTTGTTCGGTATTGACTCTAGATGCATCATGCGATTTAGGTTCTTCTATTTGTTTATTCTCAAGAGCTTCAGCCTTGGGAGTGTCCTTGGGTGGAGGTTCTGTATCCGGAACAGATTCTTCCGGCTGCTTAGGCTGCTGCTTTGCTGCATGGATGGCTCGGGCTTTTGCCCTGTGCTTCTTTCCTTCAGCATGCAGCAGCAAGGTCTGCTCACTAGTGGCTTTAGTATTGCAAAGACTGAAAGTACAAATATATATCCAGCAACCAATGATCAGATCCCAATCACGAAAAGAAAACTGACTGCAAACAACGAAAACCTCGCTAAAGAGTATATCATACATATGATCAGATGATGCATTTCTTCAATCGAACTAGTTGGATCAATTCGGACCATTGCTTTCAAATTCACCGCAATCTTTTGATATGACCTCTAAACAAACACACAAATAAAAGATTATGAACAAACTGGAATGAGATGAACATACCTACAAAACCATGGAAATCGCTTAGTCAGCCCGACAGTAATATCAAAATCGGGTTGCTGCTTTCCATCCCTGTTGTTGTTGGGCTTGGCTCCCCCACCATTCAAAGGTTTCCCTTGTGCCCCCTTGGGACCGTATTTTTCCTGCAAACAAAAACAAAGAAACCAAACCCTTGAATTCAAAATATTTCCTAATCCAAACCGTTCGATTCGTAATCCAAACAATGAGCGCTCACCGCCTCAGTCATACATTGTGTGTGACCCTGAACGGCTTCTCTCCCAAATGTCTCTCCGCAATCAATGCACGAAAGCTGAAGCATCAACAACAACAACAACAACAACAGCGACAATATTAGCAACCCAACAAGTTAAAAACCAAACTTTCTCGGCAACCAAACAGAGTCTTAGATAGGGAAAGAAGAGACCTTTCGAGCAGAGCAGCAGTTAAAGTGACCCAAAACCTTGGGTTTCTTGAGGTTGTCTCCGCAATCCTCGCACTGAAACCACACCATCTCTCTCTGATTCAGCCGTATGAAACAAACCCAAATCAAATCCAGAAGAGACAGAAAGCTCTACGACCAGGTGACCGAAGAGGTGATCCCAGTTCCGGGGGTTAAGGCATTTGCAGGAGGATTCAGAGTTAGGGTTTTTGGTCATAAGTTTCCATACCAAAAAAGAACACGACCGGTTTCTTGATTGCCGACACATTTCGGCCCACATGTGAAGGCCCAAAATTTGAACTATGTTTATCTCAATTTAAGCCCATTGTGCTGCATAGTTTTTTGGACAACACTTTATTTTTATTAAATATTATTTGAGCGGTGTTCTAAACTACTTTAAACTACGGAGTAAAGTAACTTGGCTATGATCATTCCTAATTTGGATATACATAACACTTTGGGATGTGGTATGGGTAAGCGGAGATTCTTGACCATTGATGTATATACAACTCTGAACAAAAATTTGGTGCTAATTAAAATTAGTGGTTCTATTCTTGCATCATATATTTTTCCTCCAAAAGTCCATTTTTAAGGAGTGTTTTTTTGATAATTTGAATATCAAATTGGGTCACTTGATTCTTGTATCATAGGTTTTTTATTTATTATTATTAAAAATACAACTTTCCATCCAAAGTGGGTTGCAAAATCCCAAAAAGTAGTGAAATTTTGCTTTTAGCAATGATTTTGTTTTAAATATCAGTATGATGAAATATCCACTAATCAATAACAACAGTTTGTATTAGCATGGTGTTTAACTTGTGTTTAACTTGGAGTGAAGCAAGAAATTATGTCCTGCAAAATGACTTGATTTCTTTTATTTATATTATCTTTTGATTTATTAATCTAAAAATTAAGAAAATATCGTAAGAAAAATAAAGGGATCGAGATTGGTAGTCACTTTTGTTAATTAAGTCACAAAACAATGGAGATATCCCGCTTTCACGTGAGAAAAATGTAAAGAAAAAGTTAGAAAGAAAGAAAAGGGTGTCCCTAAACGCTAGCTAATAGGCATAGCCGTCCCCTTGGAGAGATCTGGACGACACTTGGTCGTGGTGGCCATGGGAGCTGTCCTTTCTTAACCCTATCTGTTTCTGCTGTTTGAAAAAGTTGCTTGCACGCCATGGAAGCTGAGGCCTCTCTATATGTAAGGACATGTGTGGGACATGGGATAAGCCAAAAGCACTAGGATTCGAATTAGGGCTTTTTCCCACAACACAGCTTCTGCTTATTAGTGCGCTCTTCAGCTCCTGCTATGATTTTTAAGCACTAGTAGTTGTCACGCTTGGCTTCTGGCTTTTTTTCCAAGCCAAATTGTCCACACACTAGAAAGTCATAATTTGAAAACATATGTGTTTGGTTAATTAATGTTAAAGCCTCCTTTACAGTCTGAAATCAAAATAGTTAAGAGAAAAACATGCAGGAAAACTGGCCACGTAAAAAGCTGTATTACCATTAATGAACTCTAAAACAACAGGAAAAGTAAAAAGCGAGAGATTTTTTGGTGCCCTTGCGTTCATCGCTCTCACACGATGAGAAACTCAAGTTACGTGATGAGAGATAAACTCAAAAGAAGATATGTAATTACGAATTTGTAAATCTTTATCTCTCAACACGTGCATGACTCTACATAAACTCTAAAATCGGCTATAAAACAGCAGATTCTCTCCGGGATTAAGGGTTTTTTAAATTTTGAAAAATTCTTGTTTGACAGATTGTCACCAAAGAGGAACGGTCGTGGTGTTTTCATTGTAAAAGGGTATATAATTTCAATGATCGCACCACGCTCCAATCATTCAAACAAAGAGAAAAGAGAAGAAGGAAATTGGTTGAGTAGTACGTACAAGTGT